TGGCTTTTTGGGGTCACACCTGGTAATGCACAGGGGTTACTCATGGCTCGGCACTCAGGAATTACTCCTGGTGGTAGCTCAGGGGACCATATGGGATGCAAGGCAAACGCCCTACCCGCTGTGCTATTGCTCCAGCCCCCTAATCAGGGTATTTTTGAATGTTATTTATTGTATTTCCACAGCAGTCTTATGTTTCTTGGTAATTATAAAAAAAAAATCAGGAGCAATTAGGATGTTTCAAGCTCTAATCACGCAGAGACATTAATCACGAATCCTACAACTCCAATCATCACGTTCTATCTGCATAGAGGAACAGATAAGGATATCCTACCTGACGATCTGATTTTTGATAGTTTTGACTTGGGATAATTCAATAATAAAGTATCTAGGAACATTTATACAATTTTGGCATTTATTGGCTTACTGGGATTTTTCCCAGTGCCAGGAATTAAAATCAAGCTTTCTCAGACATGCAGAATTTTGTTAAGCTCAGTTTCCTGAACTTTTATTTTGGGGTATGTGGGGGTGTATGGTGGCAACGCTCAGGGGTTATTCTGGTTCTCTATTCAGAAGTGACCCCTAGTGGTGCTCCAGGGGATTATAGGCACAAACCAGAGTTAAGGCCCAAGCAGCTGTTTCCAAAGGGTGCCCTATCTCCTTGTACTCCAGCTCAGCTACCTGGATGGCTAGTTCTTTCCTTAAGTTTGGGAAGTTTTCAGCTATTGTTCTTTTGATGGGGCATTTGTTTTGGGGCCACAACAAACAGTGCTCAGGGTTTACTTCTGGCTCGATGCTCAGGAGACTGTCTGTGGTGCTGAGGATTCAAATGGTTGATTGCATACACGGCAAATAAATGCCTTACCCTCTGTACTATCTGTCCTACTGTCTTGGTTTGTGGCCAGGCCATGCTCAGGGACTACTCCTGGTTCTATGCTTAGGGAATCACTCCTGGTAATGCTCAATGAACCTTGCAGTTCTGGGGATTGAACCCAGACCTCCTCCATGCAAAGTATATGCTCAATTTCTGTATATTTTCAATATATTTTCCTTTCCTTTTTTTTTTTTTTTTGCAGGGAGGAGGGAGGTGGTGGAATGTGTAGCAGTACTTACGGCTTACTCCTGCCGTGCCATACTCACTGTATTCTCTCCAGTCCCTCCCTTTTTCTTTTATTTTTATTATTATTTTTTTTCTTTTTGGGTCACACCCGGCGATGCACAGGGGTTACTCCTGGCTCATGCACTCAGGAATCACTCCTGGCGGAGCTCGGGGGACCTATGGGATGCTGGGGATCAAACCCAGGTCAGTTGCGTGCAAGGAAAATGCCCTACCCACTGTGCTATCACTCCAGCCCCCCTTTTTATTTTCTTAAAGATGAAAAACTAAACACAAAATTTCCCATTCTTTAGTTGTAACCATCATTTAAGTGGGATAAGCTATTTTATTCAGTGATGGGTCATAATTACTTAATTTTATCTCTACTTTAGATGACAGCATTTTTAACTATTGGTAAATATGTCATCATATCATGAATATTCCCTGTACTTAATTTTTTTTCCACCTACTTAAGTACTGTGGTTGACCAAGTTGTTCATGATGCTTTGTTACAGGCATTAAAAATTCCAACAATAATCCTACCATCACTGTCATCTTCCTTCCACCATTGTCTCCATTTTCTAAACTGCCCCTCAAGACTGCTCCCGTAGCATATCAATGATAATTTATTTTATATTGCTTCTTACCATTAAATGTTTAACAGGATGATCACAAAATTATTTCTATAGAAGAAAATTTGTTAAAATTAAAAAAAGAAAATTTGTGAAAATTATTGCGTCTCATCACAGGACATTAAGTCCTGGTCTTGAGGTTTTACTAAGCTGTTGTTGCAAGTTAAACCTTTTTTTGTTAGCTGACATTAGTTGGCTTCTGTGCTATTCCCTGTACCTTGAATAAATTTTCCTTAGGATAAATTCTCAGAATCCGAATACTTAAACTTTCCGAAATGTTATTAATGGTTATGATAATGATACTACACCTGCTCCAATGGATGTAAGGGTTTTTTTGGTGGTACCTGGATCAAACTCAGAGCCATATACTCAATTATCAGTTCTAGGCCTACAGTGTTCTAGATTTTACAGAACAAGTAAACATTTGTTTATACTGTTACTGAAGACACTTATTAACAGTATTTAATTATCAACCACTAGGTGGAGCTAAAATTATAAAGGAATAGTTTTCTTAGACTATTTCTGAATTTCCATCTAGAGATAACTTTGTTTTGCTTTTATGGTTTGTTTTCTTTGTTCTGTTTTGGGGCCACACTTGGCAGTGTTCTAGGCTTATTTCAGAGGGTGCATGGGAGTTCAAACAGGGAGGGTAACTACAAAGCACTGTACTGTCTCTACAGCTCTATTTTTTGTTTCTATTTATTTTTCTTTATTTTAGGCCATTCTCTTTGGTGATATTCTGAAATATAAGAAACATAACTTTAGATTGAATTTTGAATTAAAAAGTTGAAATAAACCAGACTTATGAAATCTACAGGGACAAACTGGATTGTTTTTAAATTTTATCTTTCTATCTTTTGTATCTTGAATAAAAACATAATTTAGACAATACTTAGGGATAAGTACCTCTCAAACCAGTGATAAAAAATTGTTTCATACTAACAATATCATATTAAGATTAAAAAAATACATTTTACTGCTATCTCCAGGCTACTACTCCTGAAGATGCATGAGGTGCCAAGGAATGTGCTTCAGACCTTAACTCCATCTCCCCTGGCCACAAGAATACTCATGTTTTATTGTTTTGTTGGCAGAGGTGGCAGTGTTTGGAGGACCATGCAGTGCCCGAGATCAAACATGGGGCTCCCTCATGTAAAGCATGTATTCCAACCCTTTTAGTTATCTGCCATATCCCAAAAATATATTTTTAGGAGCCAGTGTTGGTAGAACTGATGTCTTAGGTGTGTATGGACCTCCCAAGGCTTAATCCTGGCACCAAACACAAAGAAAATATTTAAAAATTGAATAAAATGTTCTATATGTATCAGATGAACTATAGGAAAAAGAGGAAAATCTATAGTCCCTTCTTCTAGAAACAAAGACAACCTTTCAATGGGAAAGACAGCAAGTGTTAACTGGCAATGAAGCAAGGTACTAAAGACATTATTTGGAACTTTTGGCTAAGGAACTCTGACCCATAGCTCTGAATTTTGGAAAAGACTTATTTTACTAATTTTCATAAAAAATGCCTTTTTCTGGGTTGGAGCGATAGCACAGCAGGTAGGGCGTTTGCCTTGCACGCAGCCAACATGGCCAACACAGGTTCGATTCCCAGCATCCCATATGGTCCTCCGAGCACCGCCGGAGCAGTTCCTGAGTGCTTGAGCCAGGAGTAACCCCTGGGCATCACCGGGTGTGACCCAAAAAGAAAAAAAAAAAAAAAAGGTCTTTTTCCTATTTCTCAGGATCTTCTATCTACCATCCAGATCTTCCACCTACCATCCTTTTCCCAAAATAAAAAACATAATTATACACACACAGCTTTAACACCTTAAAAAAATGTGACGATTTCACTCTCTCACATATCTAGTAAAAAAAAAATATAACCCCCCCCAAAAAAAATACCCAACCAAAAAAAAAATCAAAATACCCCACCTAGAAGCAATCCTTTCTCTCTAGCTTTCCTTTTTCATTTAGTTTTTTAGTCATACACAGTGGTACTCAGGGATACCTCCTGTGGTGTTTTAGGGATAATACGGGATGCCAAGGATTAAACTACCATCAACTGCATGCAAGGCAAGCACCTTATCGGCTAATCTGCTATACTAACTTTCTAGTTCCCCAAAGTGAAGAAACTGGAATTAGAGATCTGGAAATGTAGTTCAGTGGCAGAGCACCTTTGAATCCGTGTAGCCTTGGGTTCAATCTCTGATACCTCTCTTCCCCAACAGCAATTTATTTTAAGTTTATCTTTTGCTTTTTGGGTCACAATGGTGATGCTCAGGGGTGACAGCATCAGAGGTGACAGGCACTGCACTCAGGAATTGCTCCTGGTGGTGCTTAGGGGACCATATGGAATGCCGAGGATTTAACCTGGGTCAGCTGTGTGCAAGGCAAGTGCCCTACCTGCTATACATGGAGCACTGGCTCCATGCCCCAACCCCAATTTAATAAAAAACTTTTTTTCGGTTTTTGTTTTTTGGGTCACACCCAGCGATGCTCAGGGGTTACTCAGGAATCACTCATGGTGGTGCTCGGGGGACCATATGAGATGCTGGGAATCGAACTTGGGTTGGCCGCATGCAAGGCAAACGCCCTACCCGCCGTGCTCCAGCCCCAATAATAAAAAAAACTTTTCAATTTAAAAAAGGGAGAAAAATTAATTAGAGCTACTCTCTTACAACTATTTTCACATAGACCATATTCTTTCTCTAACAATTGCTAATCATATTCCCTTCATGTTTAGAATTTATTAATTATAAGGTTCATTATCAAGTCATAATTTTATTTCTATTTATTTACTGGTTTTTGGGCCACATCCAGAGGTGTTTAGGGGCAATTCCTGGCTCTGTGTTCAGGAAACCAGTGGCAGGGTTGGGGACCCAACAGGATGGCACACATGCAAGGCAAGGACCTACCTTTTGTACTAGATCTCTGACCCCAAATCATAATTTTATCTTTATTTTATCTATTTTTGTTTTGGGGACACATCTGGCCGTTCTCAGGGCTGCCTCCTGGCTCTGCATTCAGGGAATGCTCCTAGCCGGGGTAGGGGTCCATCAGAGTTTCTGAGGAGTGAAACCAGGAGACTGTGTGCAAGGCAAGTGCCCTACCCACTTTAGTATCACTCTTGTCCCTCAAAAATCAAATTTTTAAAAGTAAAGGCAAACTATAGTTAAGAAAATATGGTACTGTGCAAGTAACCTCTACCAAAGTGAAAATATTATATAATATTTCTGATAAAAGCAAATGCCAGCACAAATAATTACTTATACCTTTTGTTCTAAGAGTGCTCTGCGGAGGGAGACTCTCTGTTCAAGCTCCCGAAGCTCTCGATCATGTTGAGCTTCAGCCTGCATTTTGATTTTGCTCTGATATGCATTCAACAGCTCCAGTTCCTGCTGCAGCTGCATCTTCAAAACCTGGCACTCTGCTTCCTGTGCTTCATCTAGTCGCAACTGAAAATAGAGAAAGAACAGATTCTATTATAAGTTATCTATTTATGACTTACTTAATAGAAAGAGGTGAGAGAAGATAGACTGTACTTTTCAATGATACACAATAGTTCTCTCTTGAATCATGGTGTAAACATCTCTGAAAAAGAAAGGAACAGTAACCAATGATGGCATTATGAAGATAAACAAGGGTACAAAAAAACCTAGTTTTTTCTTAAGAAAAATTCCAAACATAATTAGGTAATATGAAACAAGGAATCTCTTCTCTTCAATAGAAATAACTAAGAAACACAGATCAGCAAATTATAGCCTAAGGGTCAAAATCTGGGCAGCTGCCAGTTTTTGTTTTATTTTAGCTTTCCCCCCCTCCTGTTAATATTACTTTGTTTAAATAGCAGGCTAGTTATACATTCTCTATTGCCTACATCAAAACCTGCAAAGTGTGCTTTCTCTAGTTGCCCTCCCTCCCCACTACCTCTTTTCTTCTTTTTTCTAAATAAAATAAATTTTACTTCAAAACAATACTAGAGTGCCAGAGTGATGCTACAGTGGGAAGGGCACTTGTCTTGCACATAGCCAACCCAAGTTCAATCCCCAGGAACCTAAAAAGTCCTCCGAGCCCACCAGGAGTGATCCCTGAGTGTGGAGCCAGGAGTGATCCCGGAGTATTGCCAGGTATGAACCCCCAACCCAACCAAACCAAACCATCAACGATAACAACAGAACAGCCCATTAGTTAAGAATGGGTTTTCTATTTTGAAATAGTAGCCACACAATAAAACATTTTTGCTTTCTGGCTAAATAATGTCAACTTCTTTAAGAAAAAGTTTGCAAGTTTCTTGTATAGAAAATATTTTATGTTTACATTCAAATTTGACCACTTGGGGTTATAGCACTATCATCTACTTACTGCTTAACAAAGAAATCGCTCTAATTGTATAAGCTGTTGGGATATTACTTTTAACTTTCTAAGTTGCTAAGATATGTGCTAAAGAGAGACACTGCACTGGCAAAGAGCCATTTCTGAACCTCATGATCACAGAGAATTCTGTACCATGTCTATTTCCAAACAATGCTGAGAGTAGAAAGAATACAAATCCAAACAACTCTTTTCCAAGATATTGAAAACTATCCCTTCAAAGCAACTAGTATTTTAATTGCTGGGATCTCTGATCTCAGGAGTACTACACACTGCAAAGTATGCTTTCTCTCGTTGTAGATAAAATTTGCTAAATAAAACAAACTTACAGCTTGTGTGGAGAGCATTTCATTAATGCTATGATCATACTGTTCAGCCAAGATGGCTAACTTCCGAGTCTGCTCCTCTTTGAGTCGTTTCAGAACAGCTTTGTGCTCACTCTTTGGTGTAGTTTCCAGAAGGTGATTTCTTAATGCTTTGTACTGTCTGGTTTGAATTTTGCAGGTATCCTGAAACTGCTTTTTTATCTGGAGTTCTTTAGACTGGAAAAAAAAAAAGATTTTTACCACATACATATATTATATATCTGATGCTTACTGAAAATAAAGATTAATAGGAGAAAGGAAGAAGAAAACTAAAACGCAGAATCATAAATTTGCAGGTACTTTGTACCTGGCTACTGGGTCAAGCAATTGTAATCTAAGTATTTTTACAACAAAACTCCAAATTAAAATATTCAAAGAACTCACTTATCACCAAACTTCAGGTAATACTTGTTGTTTTACAAGTAAATTTAATGATTTTATAAACACTAAAACTAGCTTTGATTTGTGGCTGAAGAGACAGTACAGTAAGGTACATGCCTTGCAAACCTGCCCCCCCCCCCAAAAAAAAAACCCAAACTGAGTGCACTGATAGTAGAAAATTAAATTTCTTTTTATGAATCAAGTACAGTAGATATCAACCAGAGGGTACTTTTATCAGTTCCCTGTGGCATAAAGCAATTATATTTACTCTGTTTCTGACTTGTTTTGGGGCCACATCCAGAGATTCTCAGGACTTATTCCTGCTCTGTGCTCAAGAAGAACTCCTGTGTGGATGGCAAGGACTATATATATTGCTAGGGATTGAATCCAGGTTGGCCACATGCAGGGGAAGCACCCTACCCACAGTACTATTGCTCTGGTCCTTCACTGAAATTTTTTTTCTTTCTTTTTTGGGGTGGTGGGTGGCCAACGGTTGACTCCTAGCTTTGCACTCAGGGATTCCTCCTGGTGGGCTTGAGGGATGGGATGTCAGGGATCAAACCCAGGTGCCCATGTGCAAGGCAAGCACCTTACATGCTGTATTATTACTCCAACCCGCTTTAAATTTCTTTTAGTGACAATCTCAACTCAAACTAAACAGCCTAAGACAGGCCCCATAAATGTAGGGTAGTAGGAATTTACTAATACTATTATGATTGTCATTTCCATAAATGAACTAGGTAGAAATATATATAGTAATGGGTTACTCTTTAACACAACAAGTAAAATCTTGAAAGTCAACCAATCTCTCAAAGGTGAAACAAGTTATTATACGAAGGAGCAGACAACCTTTCCTGGGTTGGAAAAAAGAGAAAAAATGAACATGAACTATACAAACATTTCTTAGATAAAGTTAGTTCAGTTCAAAGACATAAATTTAGGACTTAGCTTTTAGTTTAGTACAAGATAGGTATTCTACAAATTCAGGTTAAAAAAAAAACTGTTTTTCTATAAGGCATACTGGTAAGACTATGTATGAATATATTTATTTACTCTATTATAGCAGAAAAGCTGACATTATTTTCCTTTTTTATTTTTTTCCCCCTAAGGGATTTTGTACTACACCCAGAGATGCTCAGAGATTACTCCCGGTTCTGGGCTCAGGAATTACTCATGGTAATGCTTAGGGGACCATAGGTAATGCTGGAAATTGGACCCGGGTCAGTAATGTGCAAAGTAAGCACCCTATCTGCTGTACTACTGCTCTGGTCCCTGAAATTTTTTTTTTAATACAAATGTTTTTAGATAGTTACTGACTGATTTGAAGTACAACAAATATATATATTTTACACATATTACCTGTCAAGGAAGAAGTTATACCCTTTCTCATGTTTTATACAAGCTAGGTCACATTTACACATATTTATTCTTTGCAGAATGAAGAAATATCTAATAAAAAAGACAAACATATGATGCCATATGTTTGTGGGGAGCTTATCTTACAACTAGCAAAGCCTGGGTTTAATACACAGCACCCCATATGAGCCTTTGAACATGTCAGGAGTGATCCTGGAAGGCAAAAATAAGAGTAATCCCTAAGCATAGCTGGGTGTGTCCCCAAAGCAAAACTGAAAAAAAAAAAAAAACCAAAAAACTTAAATGTCCTGGGCTGGGGAAATATCTCAAAGAGGTGGACTGTACATGGCACTCAGTACTACATGGCTCTTCCCAGCACCACTAGATGTTAACTCTAGTGGTCCCTGAGTTCTCTGCCTCTGACCTCTTAAAACAAAACAAAACAAAACACCTTTTTTGGGGGGGGGTTAAAGACATAAATCACATTTAGAACAGTTAAGATTCTAGGCCAAGGAGACAGCTCAAAGAATTAGTGCCCATGTTTTGCATGCAGAAGGTCTGGTTGAATCCCCAGCTCAAGGCACCCCAGCACCACCAGAAGCAACCCCCAAAACAAAGACAAAGAAAATAAAAGTAAAACTGTTTGATTCTAAAACTTAAAGACAACAGGTTGGTATGTTCACATATAAAATTGGTAGGGTTGAACAACTGGGTATATTAAAAGTAAGAATGTTGACTCTTATTTATGGCACTTAACAAAAAGTTACGTTTTGGCCATTTTGGTAGGCTGCTAATAAATACGTATCTAAGAATCAGTACCCATAGGAAGTCTACATCAAAACTAATCAAACACTCTTAAAATAAAGTTTATTAACTTTCTTTATGATAGACATATTAAGACATTCAATGTTTGCATCGATGTCATTTACTGCTTTTTCTTTGTTGCAAGTAGTTTCAGCTAAAGTACCTTTAAACTCTTAGGCTGCTGTCGAACCTCCATGACATGTTTTCGCCTTAGTTCACGTTCTCTTCGTTTATTATATTCCAGCTGATTAGTGAGCTCAGTTTGATGCTGTAATCTGATCAACTCACAGCGCATCTTCTGAATTGTATTGAGGTGGCGAAACTCCAATTCTTGCATGGATTCATGTTGTCGCAGTAACATGGCATGCTCTAAGTCCTTTTGAGTCTGCCTTTTATTTAACTCCTAATCCATCAAACAGAAAACAAAGGTATAAGTTACTGCTATATATTATCAGGAGAGAAAATTTCTAAGAAAGAGAATACTCAGGAAATAAAAGTCATCCTTTGCTATAATGGCAGCATGGTAAATACTAGAGGTTTACTTTACTACAGTAAAGACAATTGGTAGTGCATTTCTTCAGTTTATTCGTTACTATTTTATTTAATAAGCATAGATTCTATCTCAAGAGGCTTAATGCCCTTCTTTCTTACCTTCTATTATCCTCGTTTTTCCTTTTTTTGAGGGGTGAGGCCCACACTTGGCAGTGTTCAGAGCTTACTACTATCTGTGCTTAGGAATCACTCTTGGCAGAACTCGGGGAACTAAGTGGGTGTTAGAGATTGAACCTGGATCAGCCATGTGCAAGGCAAGTGCCTTACTTGCTGTACTATCTCTCCAACCCTAGTTTTCTAGTTTTCAAGTGGGGGCAGGAGCTACTCTTGGTGATAATCTACCAATAGGGTTGTAACAATTCATTTCTAGGGCCCAGTGATGTGGTGCTGCTCAGATTCAATAGTACTGGGAAGTATGATGATTGTCCTGATAGTGTCTGGGGAATCTTGAGGTATGAAGATTTAATTTAAGGTCCACATATAAGGCCTCTGATCTTGAAGCTATTCCTTGGGCTCTATATTTCTTTTTAAATTTTAGATTAAAAAGACTTAAGGCATCCTTTGAATTTTGAAGCCTTGAGTACACCTTAGATTGCTCGAGCGGGCCCAGTAATTTCTCCATTTTGAGACTTGTTATTACTGTGTTTAACATACTGAATACTGAATGGGTGGCTTGCCAGGCTCTGCTGTGCGGGCGAGAAACTCTCGGTAGATTGCCAGGCTCTCTGAGAGGGGCGAGGAATTGAACCCGGCTCTGTCGGGCTGGCTTCAAGCAAGGCAAACGCCCTACCACTGTGCTATTGCTCCAGCCCACACCTTAGAAGTGGCCTCAAAATGAAAGTCAAGAGGTTGGGGCAGGCACCAGAGCAATAGTATAGCAGGTAAGGTTGCTTGCCTGGCATGAAGCCCACTCAGGTTTGATCCAAAGCATCCCTTATGGTTCCCTGAACCTGGCAGGAACAATTCCTGAGTGCAGAAGAAGGAGTAAGCCCTGAGCATCACCAGGTGTGCCCCCTCCAAAGGGAAAAAAAAAAAAAGTTTGGTGCAAATTATTCCCAAACTACTTCATCCTTTCAGTGACATCTTCACTGTCACTGTCACTGTCCTCCCGTTGTGCATCGATTTGCTCGAGCGAGCCCAGTAACTTCTCCATAGTGAGACTTGTTACTGTGTTTGGCATATCAAATATCAAATATGTCACGGGTAGTTTGCCAGGCTTTGCCGTGTGGGCGAGATACTCTCAGTAGCTTGCCGGGCTCTCCAAGCGGGGCAGAGGAATCGAACTCGGGTCGCCCTTGTTGGCTGCGTGCAAGGCAAATGCCCTACCGCTGTGCTATCGCTCCAGCCCATGACATCTTCATTATATAAAAATGTATTTTTTTTTTTTTGCTTTTTGGGTCACACCTGGCAGTGCACAGGGGTTACTCCTGGCTCTGCACTCAGGAGTTACTCCTGGCAGTGCTCAGGGGACCATATGGGATGCTGGGAATCGAACCCGGGTCGGCCGTGTGCAAGGCAAACGACCTACCTGCTGTGCTATCTCTCCAGCCCCAAAAATGTATTTTTTGAGTAATGTATATTATAAATATGTAATGTGATTTTATCCAACATATATTATCAGTAAGTGCAAATCTTTTTAGCAGTTTCATAGTAAGCCGCTGCTTTGCAATACCATAATTTTTCTACTTTTTTACTTTATAACAATTTTGTGTATGATGCTGAGAATCAGACCCAGAGCATCCACCATGCAAGGCACGAGTTCTATCACTGAACTATATCCCAGGGGGAGTCACGGTCCTCCCATTGTTCATTGATTTGCTCGAGCGGGCCCAGTAATGTCTCCATCGTGAGACTTGTTGTTACTGTGTTTGGCATATTGAATATGTTATGGGTAGCTTGCCAGGCTTTGCCGTGCGGGCGAGATACTCTTGGTAGCTTGCCGGGCTCTCTGAGAGGGGCAGAGGAATTGAACCCGGCTCAGCAGTGCCGGCTGCATGCAAGGCAAACGCCCTACCACTGTGCTATCGCTCCAGCCCATGTGATAGTGCCTAAGGGGCAGTTTCCAATGTTGCTCAGGGGACCATGTGGTATTAGGGATAGAACTCAATGCTCATTAGAGCCGTCTTCCACATGCCCATTTTATTATTCCTTAGAATTATAGAAGTAGATCTGATAGGAAAATACAAAACATACATTAAAATTTAAAAGCTGGGGGCTGGAGCAATAGCACAGCGGGTAAGGCGTTTGCCTTGCATGCAACAAACCCCGGTTCGATTCCCAGCATCCCATATGGTCCTCCGAGCACTGCCAGGAGTAATTCCTGAGTAGCAGAGCCAGGAGTAATCCCTGAGCATCGCCGGGTGTGACCCAAAAAGAAAAAAAAAAAAAGCTGTTGCTACACGATGATCCAAGAAAGAAACATCTATTTATATACTCTTCCCAGTACTTACCCACATCACTAATAAACTTTAAATTATTCTTAGCTAACTGATGCCAACTATTTCAATTTTTAAAAATTACTATCACTGTCACGGTCCCCCGTTGTTCACTGATTTGTTCGAGCTGGCCCAGTAACATCTCCATTGAAACCTGTTACTGTGTTTTGCATATCAAATATGTCACCGGTAGCTTGCCAGGCTTTGCAGTGCGGATGGGATACTCTTGGTTGCTTGCCAGGCTCTCTGAGAGGGGTGGAGGAATCGAACCTGGGTTGGCCCGGTTGGCCGCGTGCAAGGCAAATGCCCTACCAGCTGTGCTATCGCTCCAGCCCAGCTTTAAAAATTACTAGCAAATTTAAACAATTGTGCTATATGATTTTACTTTTGGTTTGGGGGCCATACCCAGTAGTCCTCAGGGATTTATTTCTGGTCGTGCTTGAGAAATACATGTCACAACAGGAACAGAACTGGGGTAAACTGCAGGCAAGGCAAAGGCCTTAACCCTTGCATTATCTCTCTGGCCTTGAAGCTTATTTTAAGTCATTCTCAGAAACAAAGTTATGCTCACAGGTAGTATCCTAGATGAGAATTATTGTTTCTTTGTTTTGTTTTTGATCCATATCCGGCCACATGTTCAGGTGTTATTCTCGCTCTATGTTAAGGTGCTCAGGAGACCATATGAGATTCTGGGGATTAAACCCAGGTTGGCTGCATGCAAGGCAAATGTCCTGTCTACTGTAGTATTGCTCTGGCCCCAAGAACTATTGTTTTTATTCATAAACTGAGTTTGTACACTCCATTTTGAAGTTTCTTACATCCCAGTTTTTAGGTTATAGGGATCTCTTAGACTCTGGCCCATATTTCCAAAATAAAACTGGTTTATGAAAAAAAAAATTTTTTTAAAAGTCCAACTAAAAATCACATAATTACAAAAACTTCAGGGTACCCATTTTTGGATGATGAGACAATAATTTTATTAATTTAAATACATTCTTTTAAGAATTTAATATTTATTAAATACTTATAGGCAAGATAATAGGAACAGAACTTAAAATATGTAATTTTATAGATTATCTCTTATAGTAAGGAATGAGAGACTTCCCAAAACAACTGTGTTTAAGAGAAAAGGTTATAAAAACCATTTAAAGAAGTGAGGATGTGATAAGGAACAACTTTTTGTTTTGCTTTGGGGTCACAACTGGCTGTGCCCCGGGGCTTATCCTGGCTCTACACTTACTCCAGGAGGGCTCATGGGACCAGTGGGAGCAACAGAGCATCAAGGACTGAACACAAGTTAGCTGCTACAAGACAAGGGCCTTCACTGTTCTATTATGTCTTTGCTCTTGACACTTTTTGTTTTTGAATGAGGTGTAAAAAAAAAAATTTTTTTTTTGGTGTTTTTGGGTCATCCCTGGTGGTGCTCAGGGATTACTACTCCTAGCTCTTGAGCTTAGGGAGCAATCTTGGTAGGGGTTGGGTGACCATATGGAGTGTTGGGGACAAAATCTGGGTAGACACATACAAGGCAAGCATCTTCTTTACTCTGGCCCTGGAATGACATTTCTGAGGAAGCAGCATTTGAGGAGAAACAGTGAGAAAGTAGAATGGCTCAGTGGTAGAGTACATGAGGCCTGAGTTTGACTCCTAGCAACACACACACACACACAGACACACACACACACATGCACCACGCACACCATGTGTGTATCTAGGAAAAAGGGAAAAACTAGTACAAAACCTTGAGCCTCGGACTGTCATATTTTTAGGAGTTTTTTTTAGCATTCTACTAAATTTATTATGATCAATTTTTTGGGGGGGCGAGGGGTTGGGGTCACACCTGGCAAAGCTCAGGGGTTAGTCCTAGCTCTGCACTCCTGGCAGTACTCAGGGGACCATATGGGATGCCGGGGATAGAACTTGGTTGGCCATGTGCAAGGCAAACGCCTTACCTGCTGTACTGCTGCTCTAGCCCATATTTTCAGGAAAGATTTCGAATTCACATCATTTAAACATACCTCTCTGACAAGGTCCTGTTCCAAGTTATGGCGCCCAAGTAACATTCTTCTTTTAAAACGACGACATTCTAGCTCTAGATATTGTCTCTGACGTCGAAGAAGGTTAGCCTCTTCTTCTGCTTGAAAATGCTGTATATTCTCCTTCTGCTTTGAAAGCCACTCCTGCTTTTCTTTTTTGGGGGTGCTCTGGTTTTCATTCAGCTCCTGACAACATAAAAATAACTCAGTTCATAAGGCACAAGCACTGGAGTATGTGCCGGGCATTTGCAAGGTCCTGGGTTTTGATCCTGGTTATTATATGGCCCACCATATCACTGGTATCCTCTTTTACTCTACTCCTTAGCAAAATAATCAACTTGGTTCAAATTATGTAAAAATAACATTCTGATAAATTTATCACTTTTCAGTGAAGCAAAGTAAGTCTTTATTGAATAAAACTTACTTAGAAAGATGTGAGGGGAGAAAAAGAGAGGAAGTTCACGTTGAAGAGAGAATAGAGGTTTCTAAAGAGTGGAAAGGGCAAGCAAAGAGACACAGAGACAGAGATACCTGTTCAAGGGAGAACATATGCTTGAAGAACAAGCTTATTCTGATAAAGTGCTTAGCTTGTGATTTCTTTTGTTATTTTTGTTACTTTTTTCTGGTCACACCTGACTGTGCTCAGGGCTTACTCTTGGCAGGGCTCAGGGTGTCGTATGTTGTATTGAGGAATGAACCAAGGTCAGCAATGTGCACAGCAAGTGCCTTACCTGCTGCATTATCTCTCTAGCTTCAGCTTGGAATTCTTTAATGCTCAGAAATGAATGTGACTTAAAGAGGTAGGTAATATTTTCCTTTTTCTTAAGATACTCAATTAGATAAGAAAAAGAGAAATGAACACCAGAAAACACATCCTCCATTTGGCTTGTATAACTACATTTATGATGGCTCCTAGCTACAAAAGCAGATGACTAGTAAACAAAATAAAACACATCTTTAAGTACTTCCTAAAAGAGAAGACAATTCTTTCAGGTTTTTTGTTAGTTACTGTGTTTGGCATATCAAATACATCACGGGTAGCTTGCCAGGCTTTGCTGTGCTGGCGAGATACTCTCGGTAGCTTGCCGGGCTCTCCAAGAGGGGCGGAGGAATCGAACTCGGGTCGGCCATGTTGGCTGCGTGCAAGGCACGCTATCGCTCCAGCCCTCTTTCAGGTTTAAAAAAAAAAAATCAAGGGGCTGGAGAGATAGCACAGCGGGTAGGGCATTTGCCTTGCACGCAGCTGACCCGGGTTCGATTCCCAGCATCCCATATGGTCCCCTGAGCACCGCCAGGAGTAACTCCTGAGTGCAGAGCCAGGAGTAAACCCCTGTGCATGGCCGGGTGTGACCCAAAAAGAAAAAAAAAATCAGAGGTAAGGGGTAAGGAACTTTCCTGCAGTGGTATATGTGTTGCATATGCAAAGCACTGAATTCAATCCCTGGCACTACATGGTTCCCAAGCACTATGTTGTGCAATCTTTCTTCTTTGTATGTTTGTTTTTAGGCTACACACTTAGGTGTTCGGGGTTTACTCCTGGATCTATGTTTAGGGATCATGCTGGGTAGAACTCAGGGACCATATAGATGGAACTTGAGTTAGCCACATGAAAGGCAAGCACCCTACCTGCTGTATTATCTCTCCAGCCCATGGTGTGAAAAATCTTATTAATGAAGAACATTTGACATATGGACTCACGTCCATATATAGCAAGTCTTTCTAACACACACACACACACACACACACAAAATTAGGTTGAAATATGGTTATAACGCTTATAAAAGCATTAACATGAAAGATTACTTTTATTAAGATCAAATGATTAGTAAGAGTATGTTAGTGATATAAACCAAAAATTCTGTTTGTAAGAAGAATTATAAATTGAAACTAAGATGTTTTTTGTCCACTATCATTCCCTTTTCAGAAATTACATTGTAATAATTAGTTTTCTTCCAAGCTAGATTATCTTTGCTTTTAAAAAAAAAAAGCAACATACAGTGGCAAATAAAAAAAGTCATGCAGCCATGCAAGGAAATGTAACTCAGTGATAACATGCATACCTTGCAAACATGACATGTGGGTTTGATTGCTAGCATCACAACAACAACAAAAAGCAAACAAAAGAAATCCTTAAATTTTAATTTAAACTCTTAAACTAAAATCATCTAGCCATAAAAATTAACATGAACTTCAATTGAAGAAAGTGTATGAGCAAGGATACCTCTTCATTTTTTTTTAACTCTTTGTGTCACACCCAGCAATGCTCAGGGGTTACTCCTGGCTCTGCACTCAGGAATTACTCCTGGCAGTGCTCGGAGGACCATATGGGAGGTCGGGGATTAAATCTGGTTGGTTTTGTGCAAGGCAAATGCCCTACCCACTGTGCTATCACTCTGTCTCTGTCTCTTATTCTTTATGCTAAAGTCAGAAAAAGAATAATTTATTATAATATTCTGAGCAAAAAGAGAGGAGGGATGATATACTTTTTTTTTTTGGAGGGGAGGGGGCGGGAGCAGGGGTCACACCCGGAGATGCTCAGAGGTTATTCCTGGCTCGGAGCTCAGGAATTACTTCTGGTGGTGCTTGGAGGATCATATGGGATGCCAGGGATAGAACCCAGGTCAGCATGCAAGGCAGACGTTCTACCTGTTGTACTATCGCAACAGCCAGGGATACTGTACCTTTTATTTTTTTTTTGCTTTTTGGGTCACACCCAGCAATGCACAGGGGTTACTCCTGGCTCTGCACTCAGGAATTACTCCTGGTGGTGCTCAGGAGACCATATGGGATGCTGGGAACCGAACCTGAGTCGGCCGTGTGCAAGGCAAACACTCTACCCACTGTGCCATCACTCCAGCCCCCCAAAGGATCTGTTTAAAGAAAGAATTGGGTGGCTTTTTTTTCACAGCTCAAATATTTTTATTTCTAGTTGAGTCAGTTACTTAATAAACACATAGAAAAACTGAAATAATAAATTATATAATCTTAATTTTCAGATGATTACTTTTCACTCAATGGGAAATCTCAATCAGTTGAGGAGTAACAGACTATAGACAATATCTTCATTTGAAAAGGATGAATATCACCTAATGACTACCATCAACAAAATGAAAGTATTTTCTTAATGGATCCATGAGCTGGTCACCTTTGATTATTAAGTAACTAATAAGCAGACAATGGGCTTGAAAATTTTGATGAAACAAGTACCTCTTTAAGCTGTTCTTTTCGAAGTTTATATTCTCTTTTCTGGGACTCTAAAAAACTATTCAGTTCTTTCTTCTGCTGGGCTTGAATATGCTGCTGAAACTTCTTCTCCTCATTGGCCATCACTTTAGCCTATATGAAATTTTAAAATGCATAAAATTATGTAGATTCAAAGTCACAGCTTAATACCGATAACCAAGAAAGTATACTTTCCCCTCAAGAATATAAAACCGATTTCATTTTGTTTGTTTTTGGGCCACACTGATGGGGCTCATACCTTACTCCTGCTTCTACATTTAGGGATCACTCCCAGCAGGCTTGGGGGACCATATAGGATGCTGAGAATCAAATCTGTGTATAAAGCAAATTCTTTACCTGCTGTACTATCTTTCTAGCCCCAAACCAGCTTAAGTATTATAAAAAATAATAACTAACAAATTACTAATAAGCATTACTCAGCATCCTTATTTAAATTTCAGAGAAACAGCAAAATGAAACTCATCCATAAATACTGATCTTTCTCAAATTTTTTTGTTTTGTTTAATAGGAGTATGTCTTCCCCTAAAAGAAGTTATTTATAAATAAAATTAAAATCACCTTTTATCTATGTTAACATGTATATGAATAAATTTCATCTTTAAAGAAAATCTGACCTTTATTTTATATAGAATGTGAAAATTTTACCTAGTGGATAAATGTATCATTTTATTTTTTTTGGGGGGGGGCCTAACCTGCCTCTGCTCAGGGTTCATCCTGGCTTGGAATTCAGGGGTCACTCCTGGCAGTGCTCAGAGAACCATAGGTATGCTGAGGGTCAGCCACATGCTAGACAAGAGCCCTACTGCCTGTACTATCATTCTAGTCTTTATTTTTTATAATGTTGTATTCATACTAATTTTAAGATATTTAGGAAATTTAGAAAAACAAATTTTTTTTTATGTGATTCAGTCCCTGGTAGTGCTCAAGGCTTACTCCTGACTTAGTGCTCAGGGATGACTCCTGGTGGACTTGGGGAGGGTCATATGGAATGCGAGGATTCAAACATGGGCTGGTTGATGCAAGGCAAGCACCTTCCTCTTATACTATCTCTCCAGCCCCCCCAATTTCGTTTTACCTCCTTCTTTCTTCCTTTTTTTTTTTGTACCTTTATCAAAAGGCCAGGGTCTCACAAATGCAAAGCAAATGCTCTATCACTGAATTATATTCTTTGTATTTTTTTCTAAGCATATATTTTAAATAAACCTGTAATGATACTGAACATCATAAATTACTTTCTTTGCATTAATTACTTTCTTACTTTTCTAGAATATATAGGTAGAAACAATTTCCCAAATGATTAAAAATACTACCCAATGATCAACAGGGCTTTAAATATATGCATATTCTTTTACCAAATGATTTAAAAATTAAATACTTAGAGCATATATCATTTTTCTAAATTCTCTACTACTGTGAATAGTAGTTCTCATTTTGGGGGAAAGGTATGAACAGGGTATCTATGACAAGTAATGCCTTCAAGAATACTAATCAGATCTATTTGCTGATATTTTATTTATTTACTGAGATATTTATTTAATGCTTGTATTTTACTTGAAAAATGTGACTATCAAAGTAAAATTTAACTTGTTTGGAGCAAGAGTTCAGTGAGTTTAGTGTTTGCCTTGCTGGTGGCTACCTGGGTTTAATGCCCAGCAAGATGTATGGTTCCTTGAACCTCTGCCAGAAGTGACCTCTGAGCCCAGAGCCAGAGTAAGCCATGAGCATTGCTGGGTATAACCCCCACCAAAAAAAAAAAAAAAAAAAAAAAAAAAACAAACCAAAAAAAACCCCAAAACAAAACCCCAAATAATTTAACTGATGAGAAAAAATAGGAGAAAAGGATTCACACAAACAATAGTCTTTTTTAGAGCTGAAAAGATAGTATGGGTATTAATTAAGGCACATGACTTGCATACAGAAAACTCAGGTTTGACACCCAGCAGCAAATAGTCCTCTGAGTATTGTTAGGTAGGTGCAACCCAGGAAGCCCCACAGTACCACTTGGTATGGTCCTGGAGTTGCCATTGGTGGACCAAGTAATTCCCAAAACCTGCAATGCCAAACAGTACTATGATCTTATATTCTAGCACTGAACTGTTAAAGAATTTCTGGGAGGGGCCTTGTACCTTCTGAGACTGCTTTGAAAGCCCTTTGATATTAGAATGCATTTTTTAAGTTTTATTGGGGCCCCCAATAAAACTTAAAAAATGCATTCTAATATCAAAACAGCAATATTCAATTATTCTTTAATATAAAAATACTGCCACAGGGGTTGGAGAGAGAGAATAGTGGTTTAAGGTGTTTACAAGGAACAGACCCTGGTTTGATTCCTGTCACCACATATGGTCCCCTGAACACCTTCAGGAATGATCACTGAGCAGACAGCCAGGAATAAGCCCTGAGAATAACCCCAAAATTTAAATATATAAAACAAAATACTGACATACATTGAAGATTTCCCAAAAATAGAATCATAAAGTGTTTTTTGAGGTGTAAATAACCAAATGATAGGTGATATGTCAAACTCAGGTCACCAGAAAGTCAGAAGCCTAGAACAGATGAATAACTCACTCACTGTGAAACTATCAAGTTATCAAATGTCAGAAAATGATTCATATCTATTAGTTACTGGACTTAGTACTTCATATTATACACATGGACCTGCTTCTCCTTTCCTCCAATTTGTTTGATTCAAGAAACAGATATCCTAGCATTAAAATACCACTTTGGGGTATAGCATGGAGGCCTAATCCTGTTTGAGCCAGGGTCCCTGGTCATACAATTTTGGTTGGAAGAGTTATCACTAGGAGTGGTCCCTAAGGTCTGGACCCTTGATCATTGTTTAGGAGAACAAAAAGGGCTGGAGATATCTGGAGTGCATATATTGTAAGCAAGAGTGACAAGTTTGGTATTAGCATCATCAGGAGTAACCCCTGAGTACCAGGCCAGGAGTAGCCCCTGAGTACCACTGGGTGTGGCCCCCAAACATACACTTTAAATACTTGAGATAGTCACAAGCTAAAATTATGAAAATTAATAATATTGAATTAATCACCTCTTTTTCCATAGCAGCCTGATGTTTCTTGATAAGCTTCTCCATTTCTGCAGCAAAATTGTTACGCTGAGTTTCAAGATCTTTGTCTAATCTAAGGCGATGTTCATCCATCTCAGCTTTCAGCTTATTTTCCAGAGTCATCAGTTGCTTTTGATGTTGCCGCCTCATTCTCTTATATCCAGACATCTGTTCCCTAAGTTCAGAGTCCTGTTCATGTTCTTGCATTTGCCTTGTAACCTAGACATACATGGAAAGAAAAAAGTAAATGATTTTTCTTTCAAAAATATTTTACCATTCTAATATTAAACAAATAGGCAAACTAATATAGAATACCCCAGTTAACAAATTTATACTGGACTATATAATAAAGCAATCTCAATGAAAGTAAAGTTACAAGATACATATTAAAACAATCATTATTTTAATTTTGGTGAGAGAGATAATACAGTGGGTAGGGGGTTTGCTTTGCTCTCAGCAGACCCAGGTTAGATCCCATATAGTCCACTGAGCACTACCAGATGTAATTCCTGAGTACAAAACCAAGAGTAACCCCTGAGCAATGCGTGGGGACAACAAACAAAAAAGGGACAACAACAAAAACCCAATCAAATTGTGTGGTATGTAGTAAAATGAGAGGCTGAATAGCTCAAAGGAAAGGAACAAAATTTAAAATAGACATACACGGGGCTGGCGCGATAGCACAGCAGGTAGGGCGTTTGCCTTGCATGCGGCTGACCCGGGTTTGATTCCCATATAGTCCCCTGAGCATCGCCAGGAGTAATTCCTGAGTGCAGAGCCAGAAGTAACCCCTGTGCATTGACAGGTATGACCCAAAAAGAAAAAAAAAATACATACACATATTCAGTCAAATACCAAGAAATCAGGTTAATTCTGAGAGAAAAGGAAAGAGTTTTAAACAAATCCTGCTGAAACACATGGTTGTTTGTACAAAGAAAACAAAAATAGGGGATGGAGAGATAGGTCAATGGGCTGTACGTAGCAGGCCAGGTTCCCCTGAGTACCACTGGGTGTCTCCCAAAAACTAAAATGAAGTTGTTTTCTTTATTACCCTATTATACAAAAATTAGTATGAGGGGCCTGAGCGATAGCACAGCGGGTAGGGCGTTTGCCTTGCACACAGCTGACCCGGGTTCGATCCCTGGCATCCCATATTGTCCCCTGGGCACTGCCAGGAGTAATTCCTGAGTGCAAAATCAGGAGTAACCTCTGAGCATTGCTGGGTGTGACCCAAAAAGGAAAAAGAATCATTTGGCTTTAACATAAAACTCAGAATCACAAAGCAAAAGAAAATATCTTAATGACCTTGGAGTAATGACACAAAAAAACACTTATCAAAAAGAAAAATATATAAAAGCTGAGTATCTTCTTTTTCTTATTTTTTAGTTTTTGCATCATACCTGGGTCTGGCCAGGGATTATTTTTATTCCTGGCTCTGTACTCAGGAATTACTCCTGGATGGAATCTGGGTCCAATGCATGCAAGGCAAGTGTCCTACCTGTGGTACTATCTCTCTAGCCCCTGAGCTTCTTTTTTCTTTTTGGTTTTTGGGCCAAACCTGGTGGTACTCAGGGCTTACTCCTGGAGGTGCTCAAAGAATGTATGTAATGAAACATGGGTTTGATGCATGCAAGACAGGCACCTTACTCACTGTATTATCTCTCTGGCCCTGAATTTCTTAATTGAGGAGAAATTTACATAATATAAAATTTTTTTAATGTTAAAAGTGAACAACTTGGTAGCTAATAATATTCACAATATTACACAACCAAAACCTCTATCTAGTTGCAAAGCATTTTACTACCTCAGAAGAAAACCATATACCTGTTAAACAATCACTTCCCAATCATCTTCCTTTCAGATTTTGTTTAGTTTTGTTTTTGGGGGGCCATAACTGACTATATTTAGGGCTCTCTCCTGGCCTTGTGCTCAAGAATCACTCCTAGCACGGTTCAGGGGATCATACCTGGGTGCCAATAATCGAATCCAAGTAAGCCATGTGCAAGGAAAGCACCCTACCCACTGTATGATCTGTCCACCCCTTCCCCCAACTTCTGATTTCAGATAGATTGCCATGTCCCTCCCTCCCTTTCTTCCCCCCATTATACAGCATGTATCAGTTCTTAAATTTAGTGAAATTACTATTTCATAATCTGTTTATTCATTGAACAGTTGACCATTTGCTTCAACATTTTGACTGAGTAGTGCTTTTATGAATATGTATGTACACACACTTGTCTGAGTACCTGTTCTAAATTCTTTTATGTACAGAGGGACAAAATTAATGAATCATGTGAAAATTCTAAGAATTGTCAACTATTTCCACAGGAAGTATATCATTTTATACTCAAACCAGCAAAATGCAGGAATTCATGTTTTTCTACGAGCACTTGTAATTCTGTTTCATTTGCTTTTAAGTAGTGACTGGTATCTTGAAGTGTTTTGATTTGATTTCCCTAATGACTAATTGGGTATCTCTTCATGTACTCGTTGGCCACCTATTTATTTACCTATCTTCTTTGGAGAAATGTCTATTTAAGTTTTTTTTCGGGGGGGGGGTCTGTTTGTTTTGTTTTATGGGCCACACCCAGCAGTGCTCAGGAGTTACTTCTGGCTCTGCACTTAGGGATCACTCCTGGCAGGCTTGGGGGACCATATGGGGTGCCAGGGATGGAATCTGGGTTGGCAGCAAGCAAGGCAAGTGTCCTATCCACTTTACTGTCTCCCTAGATTTCTATCATGTTATTATTTATTGTTGTTGTTGCTACTTTTGTCTTTAATTGGTTTTTGGGTCACACTTGGCTGTGTTCAGGGGACCATACATGGTGCTGAGGATTGAAATTCAATCACCTGTGTGCACGGATACGAGCACCCTACCTGTTGTATCATCTCTGTGGCCCTCCTTTTATCTTCCTCCCACTTTATTTAAACCCATGGTTTACAAAACTGTTCGTGATCATTTGTTCTAGGCATTCAACATTCCAACACCAACACCCTGCCACATTCCCTCCACCACTGTCTCTATTTTCCAAACCACCACTCAAGTCTCCCTCTGTAGCAGGTCCACAATAATTTATTTTATATTACTTTTTACCACTAAATGGATAATGTAATGATCAAATAATACTTTAGTAAAATAAAATTTGTGAAAATTGTATCTCACCATAGGGACATTAAGTCCTTGTCTGAGGGTTAACTAAGTTGTTGATGCTAGTTAAGCCTTCTGTGTTACTGTTTTTATAAGTAAAGATTAGTTGGTTCCTACTTTAAATTCCCATCCAATTTGTTGTATTCCTACTGGGATGTTAGTATTGTAGTTTGGAAATGTTGTGCAGTTGTGAATACAGGTGAATGCTCCAAAACATTCAGAATATTTAACTGGCAGTCTGGATGAAGGCATGGTGGCAGTTATTCAGGTGTGAGTGTGGCTGCTGGGACTTTGGTAGGATGGGAACTTGGCCCACCCTCCACAATCACCCCTGATGTCTCAGCCCAAACTGGTATCTGAAAAAAATTTAAGGCTAGTTGATCTCTTTTAAGATTTAATTATGACTCTCTGGAACAGGGTTGGTAGATGAGTTTATATGGCTTAGTCAATGGGATGTGGGTGTGGTCGCTGAGGCTTCTGGAAATTTGCAGAGGTGGAGCGGAGATCACCCACACTGACTCTGAGAAGGTCAAGAATTTACAACTGTGCTCCTTTTATCATATTTTGGCCCTACTATCTGATTGTAAGGTATTTTAAGTATCCCACCATAATAACATCCTTGTAATGTTGTTATACAGAATATATATAATTTTTGTGATTTGGGAAACCAGAAAAACTACATTTGGTGTACATCAAATTGGGGCTAGGGATGTCGTTTAGTGGTAGAGCACTTGCCGTACATGTGTAAAGCCTAAGTTCAATCCACTGTACAAAAAATAAAGTACAACAAATTGTATTAACTTCTTTTTCTTCATGAATAGCTTCAATATTTTCTCCTCATCAGTTCTTCTGTACAATTAACATGTTTTATTCTCTCCTGTGCTTAAAATTATTGAGAGCTCAGATTTTCATTTTGGAAATATTTCCTTTGAGTTCTAAATCTAAAGTACTCTGACTTCCTATTTGGTACCTTATGGCATGCAATATATTCTATATATTACTACATAACTTGTTGATTTCTCTCAAGAGTCCTTTATCTTTCTCATATTAAACAATGATAAAAATTTTACAAACAAAACCCCAAATGAAAAAACATGAAATAATTATCCTTGAGTATAAATTCTAAGATCCAATATAGAAACTGTATTTAAAAACAGTACATACCAGTGATGCTGTTCGTATAGTAGCAAAGTGTTCTCTATTACGATAGTGTGATTTGTGACGAGATACTTGAGGTGGAGACTGTGGATCTGATGTTCTCGTTCTGGGATCTCCTTCTTCTCTGTAATTTTCTTCCTCCTATGGAAGAAAAAGACAATCCAAAATTAAAAGAAAACCAAAACACCCAAACTTCAAAAGCCAGTTCATTTGACATTTAAAGAAAACTAAAGTTCAAAGACAATTCAAATAAATTCCAAAGACCCTTTACTTACTTTTAGTTTTTGGGCCACACCTGGTATTGCTCAGAGCTTACTCCTGGTTCTATGTTCAGGGGTCACTCCTGGAGGGCTCAGGGGACCAGATGGGGTGTTGGAGATTGAAAGTGGGTCCACCACATGCCAAGTCAAAAGCTCAACCCCCTTACTATTGATCCAGTCCTAAAATTGATTATTCTTAAGGATTTGAGCTTTAAAAGCAAAGAATAGTTAGAAAATATCTTTTGGAGGGGTCCGGAGCGATAGTATAGGGATAATTCAGTGTGTAGGGCATTTGCCTTGTACGTGGTTGACCAGGGTTCAATCCCTATCATCCCATAAAGTCCCCCAAGCACCGCCAGAAGAGTAGTTCTTGAGTGCAGAGCCAGGAGTAACCCCTGAGCATTGCTGGGTGTGATCCCATTCTTCCACCATCCCCCCAAAAAAACTTTAGGAATAGGATCTGGAAAGAAAGGACAGGAAGTAAAGGCACTTGCCTTATATGTGGCTGACTGGTTCGAATCTCCAGAACCACAGATGGTCCTCCCAGCAGTGCCAGTGGTTACTCCTGAGCATAGACCCAGGAATAGTCACTGAACACTACTAGATGTGATCCAAACCCCAAAACAAAAACAAAATTCAAACACTTTATTGGGCCAGGGAGACAGCACAGGGGTCAGGGTGATGCTTTGTGTATGAGACTACAGTCTAATACGTGGCATCTTGTGGTCACCAGGGAACTCTCATGTTTACCCTATATGCCTCTGAGGACCACTGGGTGGGCCTTTAGTAGCCCCTGAGCACTGACAGTATGGCCCTAGTGGTGTCAGCACAGTATGGCCCACGAAGTTCTGCTTTCTTGAGCTGTACACTGAATTGTCTGTCTCTGCTGGTTAAGTACTGGTGGAATGGCCCCTGGATCCCCCAAGTACTACTTAAGAGGTCCCTTTACCCACACACATAATTAAATTTAAAATATCTTTAGGCCAGAAAGATAGTATAAGAGTTCAAGGTGCTTGCTTTGCAATGTGGCTGACATTGGTTAGAATCCCTGGCACTACATATGCTGCACCACACCTGGGCCTGCCAGGGGCCATTCCTGAGCACACAGCCAGGAAGGGCTTCTAAGTTATGCCAAATGTGGCCCCCAACTCTCCCTCCAATAAATAAGTTAATAATTTGATTTTTTTTTTTAAAGTCACATGCAGTGATGCTCAGGACTTACTCCTGGCTCTGTGCTCAAAGATCACTTTTGGTGGGGCTTGGGGGACCTATGAAATGCCAGGGATGGAACCCTGGTCGGCAGCCTGCAAAGGTACGTGTCCTCTCTCTATACTTTTGCTCCAGTCCCAATAAAATAGTTTTATATCAGCTGGGAGATAGTTTAAAGGCTAGCGCACAGATCTGGCATTTTGAGGCCCCTAGTTCAATTCCTGGCATTACTGAACTCTGGTGACCTTGAGGCCCCCAACATTGCTGGCTCATGTAGTAAAAGGGCATAGTTATTGAGTGGCCCTTGGGACCCCTGAACATTACCTTGGGACAATCCCCCCACCTCCACTCCATGCTTTATAATACCTCTGGAAATGGGATTATTTGTCCAAAATAAAGTAATTTAAAGTTAGAATTTTTTTAAGTGTTTCGGGCCACACCCAGCTAAGATGCTTAGGGGTTATTTCTGGCTCTGTTCTCAGGGATCACTCCTGGCAGTGTTCTGGGGACCATATGGGAAGCCCAGGATTGAAGTTGGGTTGGCTGCACATAAGGCAAGTGCCCTACCCACTGTACTGTACTATGGCTCCAGCCCCAGTTATGAATATTTTAACTGAAGTTTTTGCAGACATATTGTAGTATTTTATTGGCTAAGAGGAAGTCAATTAAGTAGCAACCAACTAAATATGGGAATAATGTTTAAAAATCCTGAAAGTAAAAAGTGATTGGGCTGGGTGATGACTTAAAGAGCTAGAGTATATGCTCTGTATGGGAGAGCCCTGAGTCTGATGCTCTGAGCACATACAATACCACGCGCTGCCCTCTTCTCCCCACCCCCCCAAAAGCATAGAACACATACATATATACACACATAGTATATACACACACACACACACACACACACACACACACACACACATTGGAGGGGACCCTAATTAATACTACTACTTAAATTATTACTATTTGTGTATGTTGTTAAAATATATACATATTTTGGGGCTGAAGAGATAGCACAGCGGTTAGGGTGTCTGCCTTGCATGCAGCTAACCTGGGTTCAATCCCCGGCATCCCATATGGTCCCCCCAAGCACCGCCAGGAGTAATTTCTGAGTGAAAAACCAGGAGTAACCCCTAAGCATTGCTAGGTGTAACCCCAAAAGCAAAACAAACAAACAAACAAAAAAACCAAAAAAAACATTTCTATATTCTCAAAACATTATAGTTCCCCAAATGAAACATTACATTGGGACTGCCATTGAAAAATGTGACCTAAAGGGTTGGAGCAATAGCACAGCGGATAGGGCGTTTGCCTTGCAGACCTGGGTTTGATTCCCAGCATCCCATATGGTCCCCGAGAACTGCCAGGAGTAATTCCTGAGTCAGAGCCAGGAGTAAGCCCTGTGAATCGCCGGGTGTGAACCAAAAAAGAAAAAAAAAAGTGACCTAAAACATCTGACCTAAAAAATGTTTACAAATCCTTTAATGGGGCTGAAGCAATAGTACAGGGGATAGGGCAGGTGCCTTGTATGCAGCCAACCCTGGTTCAATCCCCGGCATCCCATATGATCCCCCAATAAGCAATACAAAATAAATTATTTAGAGCCTACTAGGGCAGTGGCTGAGCAAATTCGAAGTAATGGTGGTAATTACTACAGGAGTAATTTCTGAGTGCAGAGCCAGAAGTAGCCCCTGACCATCGCTAGGTTTAATTCCCCCCCAAAAAAGCCAAAAAAAAAAAGTTACAAACCTTTAAACCTCCACCCCTCAGATCGTTTAAATCTATCATATAAAGAGAAGCACTTATTACATTTAAAGTATTTTTTCACTGAAATGAAAATACTCACAGGTTTTAAATGGATGACAGAACTATTAGACATTACTGTGTGGTCTCCCTCCATCATGTCTAGTTCACTCTTGTCATCTGAGGCATCTGGAAGACTGTTAACACTACTGCTTTGGCTACTGGCACTGATGGACATACTGGGAATAGACTGATTACTTCCAACACTATTCACTGTTCCTGTTCTTCCAACACCATGATCTTGCTCCTAAGGAGGGGAAAAAAAAAAGCATTAGATTTAAATATCTGATCTCTTTTGAATTCTTTATTATAAGTACCCATTATAATAAAGGGGGAAAAAAGTAAGGTCTATTTGTAAGGAATTACCTTTGCCAAGGTCAAGATTTGTCATTCTTCTTTTCTCCCCCTTTCTTCCTTTCTTTTGTGGGTCACACCCAGTGATGTTCGAGGAGTACTTTGGCTCTACATTTAGGAATTACTCTTAATGGTAGTCAGGAGACCATAAAGGTCAGGATTGACCCTGGGTCACTGCATGCAAAGCAAGTACACTACCCACTGTACTATCTCTCAACCCACAGATTTGTCAATTCTTAGTAGAGAAAAACACTACATAAAAATGACCAACGTGGCTGGAGCAATAGTATAGCAGGTTGAGCAGGTTCTATCCCTAGCATCCCATATGGTCCCCACTAGGAGTAATCCCTGAGCATTGCCAGGTGTGATCCAAAAAGCAAAAAAGGGGGAAAAAAAAAGAGATAGAGAAAGAGTGAGAGAGAGCGAGAGAGAGAGAGAGAGCGCTACTAGTAAACAATGAACAAAACCTATCTGAGTGGAAAATGTCAGTTTATCACACAGTTCATCAATTTCTTGATAGGTTTTTTTTTGGGGGGTCACACACACACAGCAATGCAAAGGGGTTACTCCTGGTTCATGCACTCAGGTATCACTCCTGGTAGGGCTCGGGGGACCATATGGAATGCTGAGAACTGAACCTGGGTCGGCCACCTACAAGGCAAATGCTGTGCTCTACCAGCTGTGCTATCACTCCAGCCCAATATTGTTTGACATTATCTAAAATCCATTTCTAGCAAATATCTCATGGGATAGGTATAAAGATTCTACCCATTTCTCAATAATCCCCATGTTTAAAATAAGTTCAAACCTTTCTGTTAAAAATTTCTGGGACTGACCAGAGAGTATAGGACAAAAGGTATCTACTTGCAAGTGACCAAATGGGTGCCACATATATCCTAAGCCCTGACAGAAGTGATCCATGAACACAGAGACACGAGTAAGCACCAAGCACAGGTCTGTCACCTACAATGTTTTTTTCCTGGAGTTGGGAATACAGTTTAGTGGTAGATTATATATTTTGCACATATTTGCACATATTCAATTTCCCAACTCTAAAAATAAAATCTTATTAAAACAATACTATTTGGTACTAGTATCTATTTTTGTGTAAGTTAGAAGTAACATATTGCAAAACTGTGATCACAAGAATGTGTGTGTTTAAAACAAAAAAGAATGTTGTGTGTGTTTTAAGTAACCAGGCAAGTTGTATCTGCATATCAATATCCTGGTGGTCTTAAAATACCAAAATTCCATAAAATAATTCAGATTTGGGAGCTAGATATATAGGGAATAAGTTGCTTGCCCTGCATGTGGTTGATCCGCATTTAATCCTGGGCACCACATATGGTGGTTCCTCATGGCCTCCAATACGAACACAGAATATTTAATATAGATACATGTGTCTATAGACACACATAATTTAATATAGATACTGTGTCTCTATTTAAACTTTTCTTAGATTACCTACCCTAACAGAGATGTAGTTGAAGATATAACTATAGTTTTCTTAATTTACAATACTAAAATATTAAAAAAAATTAAACATCTACAAATAATTTCTTAATAACTATTAAAAGCACCAAAAACAACCCCCTCCAAAAAAAACCCTGTAAGATAAGAAAGCATATCATACAGTTTGTTAATTACGTAGTACTACTGACAGAGTTGGAATGAAAGGGTGCAACACCAGGTAATTTTAGTTGGTCACTTTAAATCTAGTCCATGAGATAGGCAGCCACTTAAAACATATAATGGAATGGCTGGGGATAGGAGGGAGACAGAAGCAGATAAAAGGAGGTCATCTTCCCCTTGCTCTTTGTGTATGCCCAGATAGACTAATGGATCAGGAAGGGTTCATGCACCCAGATGGTCAAGTACTGGCAGGTCTCATAGGTCCAGACAGGCAGAATACAGGCAGAGCTCAGATGCCTAGGGAAGTTCAGACAGATTCAGGCATGGCTTGGCTGCCCAGGGAGTCACTGTCACTGTCTTCCCATTGTTCATCGATTTGTTCGAGCGGGCCCAGTAATGTGTCCATTGTGAGACTTGTTACTGTGTTTGGCATGTCATATACGTCACGAGTAGCTTGCCAGGCTTTGCCGTGCGGGCAAGAAACTCTTGGTAGTTTGCCAGGCTCTCAGAGACGGGTGGAGGAATCGAACCCGGGTTGGTCGGGTTGGCCGCATGCCCTACCGCTGTGCTATCGCTCCAGCCCATATATTACATATATGTATATGTGTGTGTGTGTGTGTGTGTGTGTGTATACACATACACATTAGTAGCTGGACAGATAGTACGGGGTTAAAATGCTTGTCTTGCATCCTGCTGACCCAGATTTCATCTCTGGCACGACATATAATCCCTGAGCATCACCAATGGTTACTTCTGAGCACCAAGTCTGGAATCGCCCCTGCCTGCCTCTGTTTAGTTTGGTCCAATTCTCCCTATTCACCCAAAAATAAACCAAATAAACATTCAGGGGACACTCAGAGTAGAATGTGAAACAGAAGAATCAGAGCACACTGTAACATGTGAAGATTACTCTTGACATGGAATAAGCTGCTGACAAAGGCCCTGCAGAAATGAGTGTAGCCTGCAGAGTGGTGGTGGAAGGAACTACAGGTGCTGTCACTACAGGTGGACAGTGGTGCCCCAGGGTCCAAATAAGCAATTCTGATACTGCTGTATCTCTCTGTGAGACTGACAATGAGTAAGTGGGTATGGACATGGAAAGCTCCTGTCATAACTGTCGGAGGGAGGTGAGAAGCTAAACAATGATATCACTCCCATTTAACTCATTAAACATACAGATGATTGGATAGGGAGTTATTCACTGCCCAGGCAGTACAAGGTGCTAAGTACAGGCATCTCACCCATGTGCATCAGGCCCATGGCCAGAGATGAAGAAAGCTGGGATAGGATAACAGGAACTGTTGGAATACAGACAAAGGGAGGTCTAGCAACAAGTACAGAGCATAGGGATCTAACCCACAATCATGTGGCAGCAGGCTGGGGACTTAGGGAAAGCCATTAGGGAATCACTGAGTTACAGCCTGGGAAGACCCAGGGACATGATTTCAGACCAGGAATATGTACACTGGACAGTGAACAAAGCACACACTGGAGGCAAGTAGACTGCGTGGGATGGGACCCAGGAATTCATACATGGGATGAGACAATGCCAGGGAAAGGACAAGTGACAAGGTTCACAAGTAGAGGCCTGGATACCTTGGGAGGAACCTGGATCATTTTTTTTTTTTAAACTGCACAATAAACTCTAATTTTTTCCTCCCCATTTTTGGATCACAACTGGCAATGCTCAGGGGTTACTCCTGGTTCTGCACGTAGGAATCACTCATGGTGGGCTTGGGGATGCCAGGGATTGAACCCGGGTCAGCTATGTGCAAGGCAAATGTCCTTCTTACTGTGCTATCACCTGCTCCGGCCCCTAAATTCTAACTTTGAACCCTTTCAAGTTCTGTATTTTATCCAGCACAGAAAAATCCATTTTCATGCTAACATCCAAAACAAGCAAAAAAACCCATTGTAAGATAAGAAAGCATATCATATAGTTTATTATGCAGTGCTATGAAGAAGAAAAGTAACTGTTACTCCTGGTTTGAGAATGCAAAGTAGAGGGGCTGGAGCAATAATACAGTGGGTAGGGTGTTTGCCTTGCACACAGTCAACCTGGGTTCGATCCCTGGCAACCCATATGGTCCCCTGAGCACTTCCAGGAGTAATTGTTTTTCTTTTTTGCTTTTTTGGGTCACGCCCGGCAATGCTCAGGGGTTACTCCTGACTCATGCATTCAGGAATTACTCCTGGCGGTGCTTGGGGGACCATATGGGATGCTGGGAATCGAACCCATGTCGGCCACGAGCAAGGCAAACGCCCTACCACTGTGCTATTGCTCCAGCCCCACCCAGGAGTAATTCTTGAGCACAGTCTACAGCCCTGAATGTAGAGCCAAGAATAAGTCCTGAGCACTGATGGTGTGGTCCCAGACATAATGACAACAAAAAAGGTCAAAAAATGCAAAGTAATCTCTCTTTCTGAAAAGCAAGCAATATGCAAGTGTGTAAGTTTTAGAATTTTTACAGGAGCAAAGAAGATTAAAAATATTCAGAGATATAGAAACCCAAGCACAAAAAATTGTAAATCTACAACTGTACCTTATTGTGTTTCACTAATAATAAAAAAAGAAAAAAAATAATTTCAATTATATAAAAAAAAAGAACAAAAACAAAAAAAAATATTTAGAGAGAAAAAGTTAACACCAAACTACCTAGCTTTGTATGTATATTTCTACAAGATTGAGTCCTGTAACTGCATGGCTTCCTGAACAATGTTGGGTGTGAACTACTCTCCTTCAAATAATATAAGCAACATTTGAATCATTTCTAAGTTTTTATATTACCTCCTCTTCTTCCTGTGCTTCTACTGCTGGCCCATTGTGTGCCTCCTGGAAAAGAAGTTTTTTCATCTTTCGATACTGTAGATTGTCCAACTCTCTTACTGCATCCTTTGTCCTTTGAATGAGATCTATTAACACTGTTTCAGGGCGCTCCCGAAGAACAAACATGTGCTGGATAAGAGTAGAAATTAAGAGATAGTTTGAGTCCAGTCAGTGTTTTTTCAACTGGTACAAATGTATCCCTTCTCAGACCTCAGTTACTAACCCAAAAAAATCAAGATAGACAATGCATACAATCTATAGCTGTCTAATTCTACTCTGGACTCAATGTGAAGTTTTCTTCTTCTCTCCTCCTCCCTCTTCTTTTCCCTCTCCCTATCTCTCCCTCTTTCTCTCTTTTTCTTGATTTCTGTAGCTCACACTGAGGGGAAATCACGGGCCACTCCTGGATAGTGCTGCTCAGGCTCAGCAGAGCTGAGGACAACCAGGAACCAAAGTAATTTTGGTGGTGTTGGAGGACCATAAGGATGTAAGAATCCAGTGACAGCAACTGAATGATGGCCTCCAAATGTCAGTTATATACCCTGATCCATGATGTAATTTTTAAAACATTATCATATAGAAAGACAGTGTAACAGAACTGACCTTTAAAAGTTCCTCTGATGTAGGGCGATCTTGAGGGATTTTCTGGAGACAAGAATCTACAAAGTTGCGAAAATAATCAGACCTATTGTAAAGGAAAGTATCAAGTGAACATATTGCTATTTCCTTTATAAACACATCCATAAATCAGGTAAATGCCTATTGGTATCAGGGTGCCTGGCAGAGAAATGATTTTCTTTTTAAAGCAAACATACTATGTGTGTGTGTGTGTGTATCTTCCAAAAAAGCTATGAAAATTTATCTTAAGCAACCAATAAACTTTAACTATTGTTTATACAGATTATTTTGGTTTTTTGGGAGGCTACACCCGGCAGTCCTCAGGGCTTGTTCCTGGCTGTGTACTCAGATATCACTCCTGGCAGGTGTTGGGGATCGAACCCAAGTTGGCTGTGCAAGGCAAGTGCCCCGCTCACCATACTATCTCTCTGGCCCCAACACAGGTTATTTTAAAACCCTGTTAAAATATCACAAATTGCTCTATATTGAGAAGAATTTGATAGTACATTTTTTCCCTTTTATTTTTCGGGGGGGAGGAGGAGGAAGCAGTGGTTGGGTCACATCCAGTGATGCTCAGGTATTAATCCTGGCTCTGTGCTCAGGGAATCACTCCCTGCAGAGTTCCAGGCAAGGCAAGCGCTCTGCCCACTGCGCTATTGCTCCGGCTCCTGGAGAGAGCATTTTTTTTTTTACAGCTCAGTACTTTGTAAACCCTGAGCACAAATAAACAAAACTTTCATTAAATCCATATAAAATAAGAAATTTAAATAACATGAGAAGTCTTTAACATTACAAATACTGTTGATATAATATTCAGTAAGGCAGCAAGTAGAAGTTATTCCAAAATTTATCTTCAATACTTAAATTAGATTTTAATCTTGAAGGCAAGAATATAATTTTTGAACTATCAAAGTATCAAATATAAAGGTAAAGTGTTTAATGTATTACCTACATGTACATAATAAAAAAACTGCAAAAATAAATTTATTGTCTAATCTTTAATAAAAAGTAAGTATCCAATTTATGCATCTCCTTGTTAATTTAAAAATAAGCATTAAGCATGCTAAATTTTATTCAGATGACAAAAATATATTCAAGAAATTAACTTCCATTTTCTATCACTGGTAAAAATCTGAGTTTTGTAAAATTTTCAACTCTTCCTAATCTACATTAAATGAAGTTAGTTTTACCAAATTAAGGAAGTACTAGAAGAGGAAAACCAAAGGATTCTGAACACTAAAAATACAATTAGGTTCCAAAGTTTAAATTATCTAATAACTCTAACGAGTCCTTTTATCTGTTTTATAACATATAAATTATAAATGATTCTTCAATAAAATATCACTATAGCTTGAGAAATCTATATACTTTAGCTATAAAATATTAATATTTAAATCATTCCAATGAGGCTGGCCTATTCCTAAAGTTCAAAGAAAAAAAAATAATTCTATGAAAAGCATTATTTTCTTTCCAAATGATAACACCTATCTTTATTTCTGAACTGAGTTTTATGCAAATGCTAAAAGCAGATGTAACAGAAGATAAACAATAAGGGTAAAAATAGCTCATTTTAGTATTTTATTGGGTAACAAAATTTTCGTCAGGATTATTTTGATAAAATCATTTAAAAAATGTTTAATTTATACAATACTGGGTAATATATCTCTTAGCAATACTCACCATTCATTAGATTGTAGTGTAGGGGATTCATTTTGGGCTATATGATATAAGGCACTCATTGCATTCATATTAAATAAAGGAGGTTTCCTTTCAGCTGTAAAAAAAATGTTTTCCATTAAAATATATGTCTAGAGTCTGAAGAGACAGTACAGTGGCAAAGTGCTTACCTGTGTGCAGCTGATCAAAATTTAACCCCTAGTACCACATGTGATCTCCCTAAGCACTGTTAGGAGTGAGCAGGAGCTAGGTATGCCTTAAAACCATGAACACACCATATATCTCATTCCTGATGCTGGCATTTTGTGGATTTTTCTTCTTTATCAACCTGGTTAAAGTTTATCAATTTTATTTTCTCAAAGAACTAGTTCTTGATTTGTCTCTTGCTTTTCTATTTCTTACTAGTTGATTTCTGTGATGGTCTTTTCCCTACCCCTCCTCTGGTGATTTTGGTTTGAATTAGATTTTTCTCTTTCTAGAAACTTAAGGTTAAATTTGAAGTTATTAACTGTGGCAATTTTAAGATTCTTGAATGTCCCTCAATTTGCATTTATCCTACGTTTAAACTGGGTTATATATTATTGGCAAGAAATTCACAGAAATGAATGTATTTTCCACACTGTATCCTACGAGGCTGGGTAAGATTTCAAGCTGTCTTGTTATTAATGGTGCTCACTTTGATCACTAGAGGCTGTGTCTGCCAGACATATGGTAAAGTTTCTCTTTTCTCTTTTGTAATTTTTTAAGTTTTTTGTGAGAAGGCACTCTGACTATATACATATACATGCCTGTTTTATTTTCACTCATGAAATTTTTATTTATAGAACTAATAGGTTTAGATTAATAAATTATAATCTACTACTATGATTCTTTGGTGGGAAAGGAGGGCATAAGTGCCAATACTCAGGGACTACTCTTGACTCAGTGGTCGGGAGACCATGTGCACCTGGAGGCAGAATCCAGTTCTCCTGTATGCAAATTATGAGTTTCACCCATTACACGATTTCTCTGGACCTACTACTAAGTAAGAACCTTTGTTATGCTAGCTTTAATCCTTTTTGGACAAGGAACCTTTATTCCGAAATCACTTTCTTATTCTGGAACACTAAGATGTTTCCAGCTTATCTTGTACTTTCTTTACTTTAGAAAATGGATCTACTATTTCTTCATGGAGCTGTGGCAACAGATAAATGTATTGTTTACTGCAGTACTGCTGCTTTTAGATTCCCTCATTTACTAGAGAACAATGTGTACACAACATATACATTCACACTCTTATGCAAATTGAATGCTTACATTTATTGAAAGACAGTGAGTCCCTCGATTTCAATATAACCCAGTAACATATCCCCCCCCCTTTTTTTGCTTTTAGGGTCACACCTGGCGATGCACAGGGGTTACTCCTGGCTCTGCACTCAAGAATTACTCCTGGAGGTGCTCAGAGAACCATATGGGATGCTGGGAATCAAACCCGGGTTGGCCGCGTGCAAGGCAAACGCCCTACCTGCTGTGCTATCACTCCAGCCCCTAACCCAGTAACATACCCTTTATTCCTGCTTTTCTTCCATAATTTGTAACATTCTTCTGTGACAATGAAAAACCTTGCTTTTCTTGCCCTTGTTATATTTTTGAATCTACTGATTGCCTGTGTGTAACCAGACTTTCATCTTTTTTCACTGTTCTGCTAGGCAGATACTCCCTCCATTTCCCTCTGAAGTTCTGAATCCTCATTATAAATCACTATATAGAGTCTTGATGAAGAAGTTTGTCCAATTCATAGGTGGGAGGCCACGCAATCTTTTGACGTCCCGTGGAATTCAGTTGGTAATGGCTCTAGTCTAGCAGTCGTCTCCAAATCTCATTACGTATCCAGCCCATCTGATTTTCAACGCCTTAGCAAATGAGACAGCGTCCCTGATTCTTGATCGTCCATAGAGGTCGGAACTCCAGATTCTTTCTCTCGTTTGAGTGAAGCATGATACTCCAAGCATAGCTCTTTCGATTCCTCTTTGGGAGACCCAAATAGCGCTCTCATCCTGTTTTCGTAGGGCCCAGGTCTCTATGGCGTATGTTAATGCAGGAAGAACAGTGGAATCAAAGAGATATGCCCGGAGCTGGAGGCTCTTTATCCTCTTAGCTATTTCAATGCTCTTGAAGGCGTTCCAAGCCACTCTTTTCCTCCTGCACAACTTAGATGCCAGGTCATTCGTCATGTTGATTTCTCGACCTAGGTACACATAACTGTTGCATTCAGAGACGTTTGTTCCACTGACAGCAAATGGAACGTCAGGAACGAGACCATTTCTCATAACCATTGTTTTTGTGAGCTTCAGCTGTAGTCTGACTTTTCCATACTCACGGTCGAAGTCGGCCAGCACTTGTGCCGCTTGGCTGTTTGGTGTTATTAGAACGATGTCATCAGCGAAGTGGAGGTGGTGTAGTTGCTGACCATCTATCTTCACTCCCATTCCTTCCCATTCCAGTCGTTGTTCTCGAGGGTGCCACTGAAGAGTTTTGGAGAAATAGTATCACCCTGCTGAACCCCTCTCTTGACATGGATGATCACTTCCTTGTAGAATGGTGATATCCTGGTAATGAATCCATAATGCAGCTCATGAAGCATCCTGATGTATTAAGTTTGAATGCCCTGTTTGGCTAGGGCTTCGATGACCACTTCAGTCTCAACAGAATCAAAGGCCTTCTTTAAATCAATGAACGTTAAACAAGAGCTGCATCTTGAACTCCTGAGAAACCTCAATGAGCTTGGTTATCGTGTGGATATGGTCGGTCGTGCTAAATCCTTTTTGGAACCCGGCTTGCTCGCCTGGTTGTCCTTCATCTAGTGTTCTGCCAATCCTATTCAGGATGACTCGAGGGAATAGGTTGTAGACAGACAACAGATCAAGCAATAGTTGCCAATGTTGTGGAAGTCTCCCTTCTTGTACAGTAGTACAGTCCTGCTGGTTTTCCATTGGGATGAAAACTTACATTTAGACAGGTAGCGTGAGAGGAGCTGAGCCAGTGTATTGATGAGTACTGATGCCAGGTTCTTCAGGTGTTCTGGTCTGACCTTGTCTGGGCCGGGTGCCGTTCACTTCTTTACCGATGAAATGGCGTGTTGGATTTCAGAAGGGAGAACATTGGGAATGACATAACCATCCTGCGAAATTTGTTATGTGGGAAGGTGGACATGGCTGTCGAAGAGATCCCAGTAGAAGTCATGGATAATTTTCTCCATTGCCCTTCTGGAAGATGTGATATATCCATCAGGACGTCGGAGGGCAGTCATCTTGGTTTTATAGTTGGCGAAGGACAGGCGGGCACTGCGAATGCTTTTCCCGGCTTCTGCAGCATCAGCCAGCACTGCTGCTCTTCTCTCTTTGAGGTCTTCCTTTATCGCTTCTCTGCACTGCTTTGTGAGCTCGGGCATTTGCTTGTGGTTGCCTGAGGCTTGTGCCAAACCATGTTGGCGAATGAGCTCAAGAGTTTTCGAAGACAGGCATCTTTTTGTGGCTATCTCTCTCGGCATTCCTCGCACAATCATGGAGGTGCTGAACCAGTTGATCGTATTCCTCGTCAATGATGTCAACAATGGCATCTTCCCATGTTGCAGCAATAGTGCCAAAGAGCTCCCAGTTGGTGGTCGTTCTGGGAGTTCTCTTCTTAAACTTTGCAGCCCTTTCTCCCCGCTCTATGAAGTAGAATTTTGCATGAAGGAGACAGTGGTCTGATCCCGTTTAGAATTTTGGGACAACAGCAACATCGGTCAGGCAAAACCGTCGACTGAATATGATGTGGTCAATTTCGTTGTGGAACCATCCACCAGGAGAGTCCTATGTCTAACGTTTAGATTCGGCCCTCTGGAATTGTGAGTTACCATGGATGGTCTTGGTCGACAAGATGAACTCAGTCTCTCACCCTGTTCGTTTCATTCTAGGTATGGGTCCCAATGTGAAGTTCTTCAGCTAATCTTTCGGTCTTATCTTGGCATTAAAATCATCGACAATGATCTTGCAGAAGGTGTGTTTATAAAGAATATATTTGGAATGTATATTCAATGAATGAATATCTCAGTGACTCCATCAACATTCCAAATATATTCTTGTAGAAGGTGTGTTTATAAAGAAGTTCTCTTCTTTATAGAGAACTTCTCCAGCTTCATGAAGAACTTCTCAATTTCTCCTTCATCATAATTGGATGTTGGTGCGTAGACAACGATGATAGAAACTGCCGGCAGTGAGCCACATCTATTCAAGTGTAATCGTCCAATTCGGATTGTTAGGCATTCAAATGAATAAATGCTTATGGCCAAGTTTGTGTTGACAAGGACACCAACACCACCGATGCCTCTTTTGTTACATGTTCCGAGGAAAGTTCTTCTTTAGTGATTGATGCCTTCCTGTCTCGGTCAGACCAATGATGTCGCACTTGATCTTTCGCGCTTATATCATCAGGTCCTTGATGGATGCATCCGATGCCAGTGTACATGCATTGAAAATACAGTCATTTTTGTCCTTCTTCCTTTGGCAGCCTAGTTCAGCCTTCAGATTTTATCAGCCTTTCCTTCCTCATCCTTCTTAATGCTGCCATATTGATGGCTTTTTCAGGGTCAGGGGAATGAGACCCATTGTATTTACTGGTTTTGGCATATTGAATAAGCCACAGATAGCTTGCCAGGCTCTGCCATGCGGGCGGAATACTCTCAGTAGTTTGCCAGGCTCTCCAAGAAGAACAGAGGTTTTTAGGGCGGCCTCTAATCGCCCTTGCAAGTGTTCCCATGATTCAAACCATATTTGAATCCTTTCAAATATGGTGCAGTAAACTTGGAAGATGAGTATTAAGTGTCTTATGCTGTGTCGCGCTGCTGCTTTGTGATCCGGAAAGTATCGTGGAGCATGGCAGCGGCTGGGTAGTGGGGGTAGTGGAGGCCTGCTGATGAGGTATTTATCTGGTACTGGTAAGGTGGGTCTTCTGTATGTAATCCCTGGGTTGCCAGAAGTTGGTGGAAGCAGACAGGGCAGCATAGGGTGGGTCTTCTGATTTTAATCCCTTGGTCTCCAGAGATTGGTGGAGCAGGCAGAGGATGTCTGTTCCTGG